GAATATTCGACACAAAATGAAACAAAAATAAATCGCTTTCAACTTTGATGGTCAGTTTGTTGAAATTCTACCAGCGTTACTCTTATTTCCCAAGCTTTGAGGATTTAAAGCCTATAATACTTTAACTTCTAATGCTCCTACATTTTACACAGAGGCATTTTCGAGTTGCTTTTACCGAACGAAAAAGTAACCGAAGTACCGTGAGATAGACAGATAGGGGCAACGAGGAAGAGAGAGAGAGAGAGAGAGAGAGAGAGAGAGAGAGAGAGACAGGGAGAATGAGAGACACAGGGAGAGAAAGAAACGTTGCTTAAAAATTCTATCTCTTTCTTTGTCTTTTCATTCCGCTTTTTGTTGTTTGTTTATGGCAAATCGAGCCCCTTTCATGCTGTATTGGCTTAGTTTCGTTTGCGCTTACGAAGGGAACGAAACGATGACGAAATTTGTGGTAAGAGCACTCTAGTTCTATTAGCGTAATATATAAATAAAGTCTTTATACACATATATATATGTGTAAATACTTTTTTGCTTTAAGCAAAACGAATTTAGCATTTTAGAATTTTTTTTTTTTGCTGCTAATACCAAATTCTACATTTTCCAATATCTCTCTATTACACGTTTCTATATCAATGTAATTAATCATTAGAAATATTAATCTTGAATAAAGCATACTTTTTATTTTGTAGTTCAAGGTTTATGGCACGACGAATGAAAGAAAAATTGGCAACAGTGTATTTGAAATGTGTTTATTAAATATTCGATTTGAATTTTATTAAGTTATTAAACTAATATAAAAATGCTCTCAAAAGTTTGTTTATAAAATTAAACAAAAAAAGGTGCTAATTAATAATAATAATAATAATAATAATAATAATAATAATAATAATAATAATAATAATAATAATAATAATAATAATAATAATAATAATAAATAATGAAAGAGAGTTAAATTTAAAATGAAAACTATACTATACAAGCAATTCAAATTGCTTAATATAATACAACTATATTTTATAGTAAGTTTTCTATAAATTTTTTTTTATCTAGAATTTTAAAAGGAAATATATGATATTTTATTCTTATTAAGCTTTTAAATTTTAAAACTTTCTATATTGATTTCTTTATTTGATATTATAGATGTATTTAAACAAGATTAGGTTTTAACGTTACATAATATAAATATTCTACGTTGAATATTGATCAAATTTTAATTTTTTTCTAAAAGTAGATATACGAGAGGTTTGGATATTTCATTATGTAAAAGTTAATTGATTTTCTATAAACGAATTTCTATAAATTGTAAAAGAAATAAAATTGGTATAAATATTTAGAAAATACCGTTTTTATTTTTAGCATTTTATGGAATTGAACCACTAAGATTTTTCCCTTCATTTTCTTTTTATCAAAATTCATTATTAGACAGTGCAGTCTGATATAATAAATAAATAAATATATATATATATATATTTATTTATTTATTATATCAGACTGCACTGTCTAATAATGAATTTTGATAAAAAGAAAATGAAGGGAAAAATCTGTGTGATAAATTATACGAATATAAATATTATAAATATTGTACATGAACATCATTTGGCCTTTTTTCTCTACGAAATAAAATTTTTTAATAACTTAATATAAATTAACCTCATGTAAATTACTTAAGAATTGAATATAAATTAAATGGCATTATTCTGAGAATTTAAACTTATTTATTTTTCTTAAAGTGTATTAGAAAATTATAACGAAAAGAATAAAATTTCTATTTGATATTTTAATAAGTGTTATAATGGTAACGAAATGCACTATTCAATTAAATTTTTGTTATTTTTCTTACAACAAAATCTTTCTAACCAAACAATTAGCATTTTTATTAGGCCTCGTCAATATTATAACAAATATATATATACGTCAATTTACTTAGGAATATACATTTGTTTACATAATTAAAAATTTTATATCTATATCTAATTATATTACATAAATTGTTTGTCATTGATTATACAAAATTTTTCAATGTTTTATAAATTTTTTTTAATATTATTTTCATGTATTCAGTTCAATATGCTTTAACCTTAAATTTTCATTAAATTGATATTTAATGATTAAACTAATCATAGTGTATAATAATAATAATAATAATAATAATATATCATGATAATTGAATAGTTGATTGTAGTCACTAATAATTAGTTTCATTATCCATGCATGTATAGTTGAGAAATATAAATGTTATGTAAGCTAGAGAATTTCGATATGTTACTGATTATAGTAATATAATCCGAATATATACAACATTCACAACATTTATCCAAAATTTGTTTTACGTATTTATATGATAAATGCAAACTTATTATTTAACTTATTGTAAATTAAAATATATTAAAATCATATTTATGCTGGATATTCCTATTTTATGTTTAAAAGATGATTTTCGACAAATGCTTTCATTTTTAGGATCGATGTTCGTATACACTAACTTTTGTGGAAGGGCACCGTATTAAATAAAAGTTTCGACAACCTAGGCCTAATTAACAAGAAAATACGACGTATTTTATGGCAAATACCTCTTTTTCATCATATTTCACAAAAGGGATCTGCAAAAATCTACATTTCATGCTTTTATATCTTCGTTGCGAAATCTCGGGAGGATTTTGTCGATGTTCATTCATCTTAATTAAAAATAAAAATGCCTCCGTTGACTTCGTTGAAAAATGCGGGTCGTTGTGCCACAGGGAAATGTAACGAATACAAAACAAAGCAGTTGACGAGTGATACTTTTGTCAACATTGTATAATCATACACTATAATTGTTGTTAATTGGATGATTCTAGTAATTTATGTCACGAAATTGGATTTTACGTGCATGTTCTGCATGACGCCCACACAAGCGAAAGCACGAAAGCAAAATCATATTTTAAGTTCGGCTGCTTTGGCTAGGATTTTATTTTTTAATTTCATATTTTCTCGCACCAAAGAATAATAAGAAGCTTGAGGAAAGCAATACTTGCGCCCCATATTTCTCCACCGTCGGTATGGGATTTCTCAAAAACTATTGAGAGTTCAGAGTGCAAAAACACTTTGACGTTCTCTTATCCTATGCCTACTCCAATTTTTATCTCTCTGTCACTTCGCAATGATTCAATTGAAGTCGAGTGGCATTTTCTTCTATTTTCATTTTTCCTATCGAACTCTGAGTGACAAACTCATGTGCTTTACATGGCAAACGGACATTAGCGCCGCAGCGCCGAGGCCGATTTTATACGAGTCAGTTGGCACTTTTCTTTCAGTTCGCTGTAATATTCTCTTCCCACATGTAAATGCAGAAACATTAAACTAGACAACAGTTCATCGACATCTATTGTCTTTTCAATTAACAGGATAACTATACGCGTTGCATAAAATGCGTTCCAATACTCTTGTCCATCATGTTATTCAAATTTTAATTACAATTTTTATTTCATACAAAAGCGTATTAGATATTAAAAATTTATGAAATAATATTGGGATCTATTTGTTTAATATCGAGTTGATGAAATAATAGTTGTTGACTTGTTTGGTTTTTAGATTGTATCTGCATTACATTTATTGGTATAAATTGATGTTTAAAATTGTAAATGTTTTAGAATTTTTCATAAACCTAAATGATTGATATAAATATTATGTATTTATAAAAACAATTTATAGTACGTTTTATTAGAATTATAAATAGTGAAAAAAAAAACAAAAAAACTTAGTTTTGACTTAAGAATCGTATCGGGTTTATAATATATGGTGTGCCGACCAATAAGTAGTTTACTGGTTGTTTAGTCAGACAATTTAATTATTATGCAAGTAAAATTGTTCGAATAATATAAATTTAAAGAATATGATTTATAATAAAAATTGAAATATTATCACATATTTAATCAATATTTACATAATTTTTATCTATTTAATAATCATTAAAAAATCTTATTAAGCTAAAATGTAATATACCCAAGTTATTTGGATTATAACAATATTAAATCATTCGATCAAAAAATTTTTTGACATAGCTTGACTGTTAAAAATTTTATTTGGCAAAAAACGAAAATTGTAAATCCAAAATTTGAATATAGAAAAAAAAATATTTTAAACGTAATGTGATTTATTAATCAATACGTCATAATTAATTCAATAGAAATATATTCATTAAATATATCACAAAGAATGAAAATAATTGATTATCAATGATTAATAGTGGATTTTGTATAACAAAAACATTGAAAATGTTTTCTTATTTTAATACAAATTTTTTTTTTTTATTCATGCGTGACTAATACGTGAAAATGTGTCATTTTTACATTATACATTATACATTCTTGATGCATGAAATTTTATGAAAATGTTTCAAATCAAAAACTGTAATATATATATATAGATAAGTTTCGTAGACTGATGGAGGAAATTTTTTATATTAAATGAAATTGTAGGAATCATCTACGCTACTAGAAACGTATAAATTGGAATCGATTTATACTAACAAATTGCAGTACGGGGAAATTCGATTTAAAGTAGAAATTTTAATATATTTGAATTCATATAATTATTTTGTTATATCAAAGATTTGATATCCAACATATTATGTACTAATATAAATTATGTTTATTATTGTTATTCATCAATAAAATTATAAATGATTTAATATAAGGGATAATTAGAATTCAATCGGTAAAGCCGAATTGCAGATGATTTCAACTGAATATTCTAAGTATTAACCTAAATTGAAGTCCGATCATATTTTTATTATTATACCTACAGAATTTCCCGACAATTTTTGTGTTTTAATGAAATTATCACATTTATTATATAATGGAAATTACAATTTGGATAATTCTGTAGTAATATTTATTATAAAAATTTAATATTTTAATAAATAATACGTGTGTGTTTGTATATATATATAATATTATTATTTTTTTATAAATATATTTATATACGAATTTTACAGTATAAACATGTATTGATTTTGATTACAGATTCCACAGTTCCAGTAGTACTAAGTTTGTTGATTGAGAAAGGTCTGTCAATGGTAAGTAAAGTATTGTAGCCGTAATAGTGAAAACATATTTAATGCGTGTTTGACTTAATATCATCTCTTCTAAAAACTCAAAGATAAAGTAATCCTTCATCTTCATTAGCCGGTTACTCTAAAATTCAGACTGGCACATTCGAACTTGTCGTCAATTATTTGCGTCACCTTCTTTCCGTCGCGTCATCCATCATGTCATCGTACGCGTCCAACCAAATTTCCTGCTTTATGCCACACTCGCATACTTCCTTGAACGTATATACGTGAAAATAGCAAAGCGAACGTATCTAGGCACATCGTTTTGCAAATATCTCTATAGACCTATGTATATTATTATAGAAACGAGTATACATCAGCTTGAACATTGACACGAATTAACGAGGTACTCACTGCCGTGCAAATTCTGTCGGTCACAGTACAAATATTCAACGTGTAAATGCACCCGCGGAAATCTGCTGTGCAAAACTAAATTCATATACTCACATATGGCCAAATATGCCATATACACATACGCGAACACACACACACACACACACACACACACACACACACACATATATATATATATATATATATATATATACTTTCTCGATTACCCAAGAGTATTGATACGTGGTTACATTTATAGAAAATCCCTATCGTAAGTTTCTTGCTTTCTGTATATCTCTGTGACAGACAACTGGAAATTGGTCTTCCATTATCGGGCGGTAAGGCGACTGAGGTTCTGTAGCTTTACCTAAAAGCGAGGTAGTTTGCTTTACACCCCAGTGTAAAACTGAAATGTGGTTTCATTCCATCAGCAACTTGCACTCAACCATTTTACGACTCTGACTTGCGCTCTGCATTCACAAATTAATAACTCTCGAATGTATTGTTAGCCTAAACTAGTTGTACTCGAGTCATTGAGAGTGGCGAAACGTTTTAACCTAACGCTCGAATTATTAATTTATTTCCACATTTTTAGGCTTATCTTACATTAATAGCTGAATTTTTAGGTTTTAACTTGAAAAAAAAAATAAAAAAAAAATAAATAAATAAATAAATAAATAAATAAATAAATAACAAGAATATCGTACATTATGATGTTTAATTAAATAAGGAAGATTGTACGGATTATGCTTGCGTATTGTTATTATTATTATTCTGGTTTATATTTTAACATCTATATCCGATAATTGATTTTAAATTATTTTTATATACATTTTTATAATCCAGTATTTTATTTCTTTTATGAATATGATTAATATTTTATTCTATTTTCTATTGTTAAACTTGTCTTTTATGATGATTTCTATTTTATATAAAAAATGTTTATATAAATATTTCAATATAAGCATTATATTGTAGGTATTTGAAAATTTAATTTCAATGTAATTATCACTAAATCGAATGCTTCTTAAAAGCTGTTTATATATTTGAATAATGATTATACAATTTTGTATAAGCATTCCTACTCAAATTATTAATTATTCACAATAATCGAAGTAAGAACTTATTATTATATCTTGAAAAAAATTCAACAAATTCTACCAAATTCTGCATTTAATTTTTTATTTTTTTTTTATTTAAAAAAACTCACATGGATGAACATAATATGTCGTTATAAATTAAAATTTATTTCATACATTATAATAAATAAAGTATTAACTATTCAATATCATTAGTGTGAAAAAAATAATTAAAATAGTTGGATTAATACAGTCTTACGAATTGATTGAATGTATATATGAGTTAATAGTTTAAATATTCATCGAACAATGATTGATAAAATTCAATTAACATATTGAAATTATAAAAATTTTTATATTTAAACAAAAAACTAGTAATTTTATGTATGTATATAATGGAATTTAGAGAAAGATTTAAATGGTATTTAAATAATGGAAAATTGTCGATCTTCATCAATTCATTTATAATTAAGAATAATTAAATTAATTTAACATTTAAAATATAATTACAATTCATTTGAAATAGCTAAAGAACAGATATACAATATACAAAATATGTCAATTTTTATTTCCATTTTTACTTTACAAAGGTAAAAGCTTTTTAAAAAATTAAAATCACCAACACGAGATCATAGGATAGTAATAAAGAAGACATAAAAATAATTTTTAAAATTGTACGAGCTTGTTGTTTTTTAATAATGAAGAATGAGATTTACCGATTTGATCATAACTTGTTGAAAATAAATTAAAAATTGGAATAGTGGGGATTAACGAACACAAGGACAAGAGCACAAATCCAGCATATTTATTAACGGATGCATTAATTTTGTAAAATTTATGAACCTACATAACAATTACAATACAAATATAAAATACATTATAAATATATTTTATAGCCTTTAAATGCTAAATTGAAAAGATTTACAGACTGTCGTTTGGTGGATAATTAAATGTAAACTTATATAAACAACCATAAATCCTTATATACTACTTGAATGCTGACGAAAATAGTGAATCTGCGGAATGTAAAGAATCAAATTCTGTGATATAATTATGAAAAATGTTTGAATTAATGTTTGTATGCGCGTCCAAGTGGTTAATGCTGTAAAATGACGATAGCTATCTTGCAATGAGGATATTCTCTTTGTTTTATCCTGAAGCTGTAGAATACTGTTTATACCAACGTAATGTCATATAATTATTTGACGTCCGCAAAAACTTCATCGAGTCAATATTCCTAAATTAATTTACTTAGTAGAAACACGTTCGAATGACTAAATGTAATTTACCAAATACAGTGCACATTTACAATAGCGGTCGGAAGAGTATAAGGGAAATCGGACTTTAGTGTATAAGGGAAAGCAAAGGCTCACTAGCTATTGAGTTAACAGGTACATCTACGTTCGTACTTTGGTAAACGTTGTAGAGTTTGTTGAGTATTTCGGACGCAAGTAAGAGATCTTCACATTCAAGTGATTGGTTCAAGAGGTTTGTTATAAGGGATACCGGCAATTCACTTTCAAGACTGTTGGGTTTTGTATTTCTAACACGTAACGTTTCAAGAATGTTTCAAATTGTTGAAATTTGTTGCATAGGACCACCATTATCAACAATGGCACATTCTTTCATTCGAATGTTTTAATCGAAACGATTATTCGGTCAATTAAATTGAAATTTTAATTAATAATTCGTATGCATATCAGCTCCGGAAGGTGTAATTTTATTTATCAGAATAGATTAAATTATTCGTGGCATGATTTTGTAATGCAATAATTGACCAATAATTTACCTTTTAAAAACCACATACCCTCATTGTAATATTTTACATTTATTTAATATTCTTTGTTATTTATGGTTTGATAATCAATAATCATATAATATTATATCGTCAATTTTAAGAAATTTACATTCTATGTACAATGTATTGCGTATAAATGTTTTTTTATTGACTCGTGTACACAATTACCTTTCTATGGTTTATTTTCAGAATATTATTACTCACGGTCCTGGCATGGTTTTCCATGTGGTGAATTTGATCGTAATGGTACTCATGCCACTGGTTGTCATTCATGTAAAGGAAACTGGATTTAGCTTAAGTAAGTAATTTTATTAAGTTTACATTTGTTAAGTCTGAACGTGTAAATATTAAATGTAATATAAGAAACTTGGGAAGACGAAATTTTTATAATTTTGAATAAGAAAATAATTTGCATAAATGCATAAATAGTACATACTTAACCAACTAGGGATAATTTCTGTAAATGAATGCATATAATTGCACATAATTGATAATATAAACAAAACACAATTTAACAACAATTTAAGTATTATTGTCGTCTTAATAATTGAGTTCAAAGAAATTTTCATCAATATTTCTTTCTTTTACAATGCGAATATTTAATACTTCTGTACTCTTCCATAAAGCATAATGCTACGATAATATCTCGATATATTAGCATGTACTATTGTCACAATATGGTACTATAACTATTATTTAGCAAAATATATCTACTGTAATATAGTACATAAAGTATACGTATGACATTTTTTATCGAAATCTTATTAGTTTATAGGTTTTCTTTTATATTTAGAGAATATAAATATCGAATAGAGATATAAAATAAAAAGCTTTTAGCGCCAGATACCAGATGTTTTAATAAATATGCTGGGTAGAAATGAAAAATGAAGAAAAAAAATTCCGTGTATCGAGCATCATCCCCACTAAAATTAAATTTATTCATTATTTATAAAAAATCTTTTTACGCGTATGCAAATATACGTAGCATGATAAGTGTGTGCAGCAATATTAATAGATAAACGTGAAGTAAGTAGTAGTTTACAGACTGTCATTATGTCTTCACATGAAAATGTAATTACAACGTTGCGTTTCGATTTGGGTTGTATGTACCCCGGGTCATACGTATGGCGTCGACTTGATCTATTACTGCAGTGGAATGGGTTCGAATGATCAAGTGTATCATTGATTTTCTCAAGAAGAACTGGTATTGTAGTTTTGGAAATGCCGAATAATTAAAACACACTGGTCGTGCTTCAATCAGTATGAAATTATTGATCATAATAAATTAATTATGAATTAATATATTACAGTGATGAACGTTGGCAGTTGCGAATATATTGAAGACTGATTTATCGGAATAATAATTCTGACCGTTTTATTTAGAAATCAATGTTTCGTAACATTAGCAGTGCATTAGAAAATTAGTAATTCCAAAATCAATTCCTTTTGTCTCTTTCTAATTTTTAATAATAAATTATAGTTTAATTAATTTTTACATTAATACAATTGAATGAAAACTGTATTTAAATATATACAATTTGTGTATATAAACAGTCAAATATCATTAAGCATTTTCATTGAGGTGCCGAATTTCATATGTACATTACTGTCGTTTGAAGTATAGAGGATTATTTATGGAAGAATCTACGTGGCCTTACCAGTTCATTGTTCATAAATGAACATTGACGGTTTATATTTAGCTATCGACTAATAAGCTCTATTGTAAATAGTTTTCAAATTTTATTTTCAAATGGCTTTGAAGCTCATTTATATAATTGCGTGATTTTATGGCTTGAACATACATTCAAAAGCTATAATTGCTGTTGTAAATGTTAATAATAATAGATTTAGAGTATTTAACTTTGATAAAATATTAATATGTATTAAACTGGTTGTAGAAACATTATTGTATATGATGCTATTAATGAACACTTTACAACAAATTAAATTTGTGTCGAAATATATTTATATATATATATATATATATATATATATATATATATATATGTGTGTGTATTGTAATATTTCTTTTTAATAGAATTTTGTAATCTTTAGAAATCATTCTTCTATGATTCTTTTTAGTTAATCAGTGTAAATTTTGTTACAACTTTGATATATTCTGAAATAAGAGAAACATCTAACTTCAATCAGCACAGTAAATTTTTGAAAAAAGTTTTTCCCAACTCAACACTTCAAACTACTTTATTTGCGCACTTTAACGTACGCATAAATTATATAGCAATTAAAAATAAATGTCACTTTTGAAAATTACAAAAATATGTAAACAAAATTATTCCATTGAAAATCATCAAAAGGATTATTTTACATATATTGCAATTGTAATGAGCTGTAATAACGAAATTATTATACCTTTTAAAAGTAAATTTGATTATTTTGCAACTCTATGGAAAAATTTCACATAAAACTATCCGTAATTCAAGCTTTATAAATTATTATTTATAGCTATTATAATATTGTTAAATTTTCAACAAATCAATTACCTATTTTCTAATTGTAATTTATTTTATTCTTTATTATTTTATATAAATCATTCGTAATTCATTGTATTAACAGATTTTTAAGATATATTGAAATATATTTATCACATTATTTTTAACGTCAATTTACATTCAAACAATGTGAATTCAAACAATAATTTAAAAATTGTTATCTATGGATTCTCTCGGTTAATCCATTTAGTTGAAAGTGCAATGAATTTTTCTAATGCATTTAGTGGAAAAATGTATATACATATTGAGACGGGAGACCTTGTAATCTAATTTTAATCAATTTCGATAACATTTAATGTGCAATATGTTTTAAGATGACTTTTTCAATGATAAAATCAATCGCGATAAAATGATTTATTTTCTGATGTTCAATGACGAATAAATATCGCTAAAAATTTTTTTTTTTTTATAATTCTCACGCGTAGCAATTATTAAAAAAAAAATGTTACATTCATATAGAAAATATTCGATAATGTGAGTTATAATATAAAACCAATTATTATTTTAATAATATTAAATATATTTCTATCTAAATTTAATTTTAAATTGAAAGAGCAATCGATATTTTATGCACTTTGCAGTACGAAAATAAAAAATTTCTAAATTCTTGACAAGAAATTCATTCTAAATAAATATGTTGTGCATTATGTCTTCTAATTGAAAAAAGAAAAAAAGAAAGAAAAAAAAAAGATCGTTATTTTATTATTAAATACATTTTAAATACTTTAAAGAATTATTTAGTGTTTTACATTTTTGTATTTGAAAATTGTATGGAATATTTAAAAATAATGGCTTATTATCGATAAGACATAATTGAATTTTATTTATATATCAATGTAAATATTAATTAGTCGTGAATGTCATAATGAAAATAGGGAAATGCAGTAATTTGATGTAATACTTGCTGATTTTATACAAACGCTTTCAATATTCGATTTGAACTTTCATCATACAAACTTGGTTGTTACAAAGATAAACATATTCCCTAACACGAATACAATATTTCTACAGCATTATCTAAGGCACGTTTAGTAAATATTATTGAAGTTAATTGTGGAATAAGTTTGCCCAACTATTATTTATATGTAAATTCGTATTTTTAATTCCGTGATATAATTTATTGGATAAGAAACGATATGAAATTGACATTTTGTCAGTTAGGAAACGTGTAGGACGTCGCATTAAAACATTATTTCCTTACTTACATTATTTCTTTTACGATTGCATTCCGATAAACATTATGAATGGCAATGTAATTATCATTAGCCTTAAATAGCCTATAATGTTAATAATATATTTGTTGAGGAATGATTAGCTGTGCTAGAAAAACGTGAAGTAATGCAATTGAATCCCAGAGTACAAGCCAACTAAGAAATCCCCTCGATCCTGTAAAGTTATTTGAAAAAGGTAAGTAGTAGGTGAAAAATGTCGTTTTACTTGATATTTATCGGCAGGAATATTTTCAAGCCGGTTTTTGTACAGTATCATAATGATAAAGGAAAATTGCATTTCTAAGCTAAATATGTGACATTACTCACAGTGGTGGCATAGGAATGCTCAGGTAAAAAGAATCACGATAGAAAGATCGACGAGGAGAGTGGCTTTGGGTGGGTGGACATTCGTTTTCTTTTAAAGGACTTTTAAAGGTTCGTCGGCGTGGCACGAAGAAACGCGAACGTAAAGACTGCCAGCGGGAACTCGGCACATTTATAAAAGTGAGACACTCTCGGTCTGTCTCTTAAAAAAATAGCCAAGGTCTTTTCCCCCGCAAACGACAGTATGGCACGTCGGAAGCTCTGAAAAGACTTCATCACCATCCCTCGGATGTCTTCTTGGCTCGGTCTCACTCACCTACATAACGAGCCGCTCAGCAACTCGTGCCGGTTTCCACGAGCTGCGGCCGTACTCGGGCTATTTCGTCGGGGTGGGGGACACGTGGATCGGAAAGAGCTGCGCTACTAAGAATAACGCAAACACGTCGTCGGCTGCTACGCTTCGTGCATGTATTATCAAACGGCACATACGTGACGGGAATCTGTATAGGGAATTATCGGTTATGTGTACAGAGTAGCTCAACGCGAGAGTTCCCCACCCCGATGATCCCATGTCTACTGTTGTTTTCCTCGTTGGTTGTGTTGTACGCGTTGCTGAGTCATTTTATGATAAAGATCAACAACGTTTAAACGATAGAGCTTGATCATTACATTATCCCGTGTGCATTTATCAACATCGTCAATTAATGCCTTCATTGGAAGCTTTTTTTATCGTATCGCAAGGGTTACATTGCTTCACGCTCTGAGGCTATTGAAGAACAGTCATATTAATTGTTCGATTTTGTTATTCGTGGATTTCGATAATGACTTTTTTATCAAATAAATTTCTCTATTATTAATCGAAAGTGCTTAATAACGAGCATATGACGTACGCTGTTGCGTTAAATTCGGTATTCGTGTTAAAAATTTTGTCCAATGTTGCTCTCACGATTTTTCATTATTACTTATATTCAAAGTACATTAATTAAATGTAAACGTACATTGATTTTTCAGCTTATATGTATTATTATAATTGTAAGTACACTAATTTAATAAAATAATCGTATGAAGTCTCGATTTGAACTAACGAGGCTTTCAACTATCCAAACAGCAGTTATTATCTTAAATTCCCTATTTTAAAAGGCAAATAATATTATTTTATTTTTCACGGTATGTATTTTTAGATTTTCTTTAAGATTTTCGTTAAATTTATTATATGTACGAATCTATGATATGATGGATTTAGATTCTCTTAC